CAGTGATAATCAGCGCCCTTATGAAGTAGGTCAGTTAGTGGTCTAGTTAACCCCGTCATGTTGGTTTAGTGGGGGTCAATCTTCACGCATTTGGTCGATCAGTTCGTCCGCACGCGGGATTGGGTAGTAAAAGTTTATCGTAACCCGATTCAGGGCGCGGTAATCGATGCACATTCGGAGTCCCCCATCTTTCTTGGGTGTGAACAGGATCAGGGCTGCGAACGGGGACGTGCTCGGTCGAACGAACCCCTTGGCCAGCAAGTAGTCCAGCTGGTCCTGCAGTCTTTGGAGCTCGGGTTTTGTCAGCCGCCACTCTGTCCGGACAGTTGGTTGCACGCCAGGTTTGAGTTCGATCCGATGGTTCTGAGGGCGTTTTGGCGGCAGGCCAGGTGGCAAGTCGTCCGGAAAAATGTATGGGAATTGACGAATCAATTTCGCTAGATCTTTGGGGACTGCTGCGCAGAGCTTGTCGATGTCGGCCGGTTGATCGTCGTCCATCGATTCCTGAAGATGGACGGCTTACAGGTCCGCACCTTTCTTGACTGTGCGTGTCAGTGTGATAGCGGTGATGCATATCGTTATCGGCTCTGCTCCTCACCAAATTGGCAGTGTCTGCTGACCAGTCGCACACTTCACTGTGCATTTGCCCATCGTCCAATCGATCTGTGGGTTGTGTCGCGGAAGCCAATCTCGTCCCAGCAGCTCATCGTTGTTGTCGAGGGTCGTTGCCAGCATCGGCGCGCTGAAGCCGAAATTGTCACCACACTTCATGCGAACAGTTCGCACGCAATCGCGTATCGCCAGCGGGGTGCTGTTGACCAATCGGGCATCGATCTCAGGCACGCACCGCTCCAGGGGTAAGTTTTTTTTTTTAGCCGTCGATCGGAGAATAAGGTTGTGGCTCGCGCCACCATCGATGAAGATTTTTTCTTCTTTGCCGTTACCCCTCTTTCTACCAGCACAAGGTGATCCTCAGGTTCATCCCCATTATTCGTCCGAGAGCGGTCAATAGCGTGTACCGGTACCACTACCCGGTGGAGATGTTGTTTCTCAGGCGATGCAACTGTGTCAGTAGGGGGCTCGTCTGCTACTGACGAGAGTCGTTTCCCGGCTTATCCCCATCGTTGTTTTTCCTCTGCTTCTGGTGAGGACAGTCAGCACATTGGTGACCCGGCTGATGGCAGTGAAAACACTGTCGCTTCCTGCGATCTTCATGATTCGCCACAATGCCATTGATCGAGGGCCACTGATCGTGGCCACGAAACAGATTTTTCTCCCGGGAACCCGATCTCGTGTATTTTTTATTAGCATCGTACAGGTAGGCGATCACCACTTCTTCTTGGAACGTCGCTGGGCGTCGCATCCTCACTTCATAGCGAACGTCGGATTTGAGCCCCACGATGAACCGATTCTTTTTTTCAGCTTCTGATAGGTCGGTGATTTGGTCGCACAATGCCTGAAATGATGACGCGTAATCCTGGACAGAGATCAACTGGCGCCAGGTGTCCAGCTTCGTGTGTGCATTGTCCGAGACGGATAAGGGCTGAAAACGTGCGCGCAGAGCTATTCTCCACGCTTTCCACGTGCGAATCTTGGTTGATCCGAAAACTGACGTTGCATCCCGGGCAGCAGATTCCAAACTCCCGAAAACCCCTGAGTGTTCCTTGCCGAAGTACACGTCTCACTTGCATAGATCGCCACCAATCCAGTGCAGGTCCCCTCAGTAGCGAAACAACCAGCTCGATTTTTAAATCATCAATAGTAATCCCGACACCATCGAAATAAAGCTCCGTCGCAAAAAGCCTGCCTGTCATGGTGGTGTTTTTATCCGTGGGGTTAAAAGGGGGTGGCATCGGCGGCTCTATCTTGGCCACTGGTACAGCTGGTGTGGCTGAGGATGCTGTAAAAACTGTTGCTGCTGCTTCGGAGCGGGCAGCGGCCGTTGTCGCAGCTGCTGCAGCTGCCGTGGCACATGTGGCGGCATTCGTTACTGCTTCAGCTTCGTCATCACGGCGCTCCTGCGACACTTCGTGTGCCATTTCGTCTAACACTGTTTTGACACGTCCCATGCTGGCGGTGTCCTTGGGGGCAAGCGGCTTCTGGCGCGTAGTCTCTTGCGCCTGGTGAAGTTCGGTAACTTCAGCGCGAAGTCTCTCGTTGTCGTTTAACACATCTTGTAGGCGAGGGTCTGAGGTCGGCGAGGTTGCAATCTGAGGCGATGTACCGTACCGTCAGCTGGTCACTCTGAACAAGATCTCGGATAAAGAAATGACGAAGTTCAATGTGCTTGGTGCGAGAGTGGAACACAGGATCCTTGGTGAGGTGAATGGCGCTCTGGTTGTCACACCATAGGGTGGGCGACTGCTGGGGGTAGCCTAACTCAGCGAGGAGAAAGGAGAGCCAGCGTGCCTCTTGAGCAGCCATTGTGCCTGCGTAGAGCTCGACCTCGCAGGACGACAGGGAGACTGCAGAGGACCGAGTGGAACGCCAGCTGATGACTCCGCTACCAAGAGGGAAGCAGTACCCTTGGGAGGAGCGTCTGTGAGTCTGGTCATCGGCCCATGAGGAGTCTGTGTATCCCTCAAGCTTGACTAGAGAGGTACCACCGAGATTGAGGATGTAAGACTTCGTGGCTTGTAGATAGCGGAGGACCCTCTTGGCTGCAGACCAATGCGAGGCAGTGTAGCGTCCGGGGGAGACGTACCGAGAGAGGACACTAACCAGGTAAGCCAAGTCTGGTCGAGTGCACATCATGGCATACATGAGTGAACCGACTAGCTCAGGGTACGGGTCCTTGCAGGTGTCAGGAGAAGGAATCGGAGGGGCCGTCAGCTGATACTGTAGTGGGAGAGGAGTCGAGACAGAGTTACTGGAGTCCATGTCGAACCGCTTGAGAAGGTTGTCGATGTAGGACTCCTGGGAGAGGGTGATCGTGCAAGCCTGGCGGTCACGAGTGATCTCCATCCCCAGGTAGTTCTTGAGGTCACCAAGATCCTTCATGAGAAGGGCGGAGCTGAGAGCAGACTGGACAGCTGCCATGTCGGCTGGATCTCTGGCGGCTAGAATGAAGTCGTCGACGTAGACGAGGATGTAGAAGGGCTCGGAGGAGTGACGAACGAAGAGACTGGAATCTTAGGCGGAGGGATGGTGTCACAGGATCGAATGTGTCGAGGAAAGGTTGCACTATCGATCAGTACAAGGCGCTTTTATACTTCCAGAGTACATCAAGTAACCAGGTTTATCTTATCCTAAGGGAATAGACCCTTCTAGAAGATAGAATCACCCTGCGTATAGCCACGCGAGGCTATTGGTTTTAAGAGATTACGGCAGGATTACGCTAGATAGCGTGTCTAGAACATTCCATGCCTGGTCGGTGATATAATAATAATAAAGGAGGAAACCAAAGGATAATGGAAAATGGGGAATATGAGGCAAAAGGCGATGAGATAAAAAGAGGAATGAAATGAAGATGAAATATGGAAAAGGCCAAGTGGTGTAACGGAGGCGTACTCTCACACTTCCCCCCCTCAAAGCTGGGTGGTAGAAGTAACACCCTGCTTGACAAGGTAGTCATGCAGAGGACGACGGGCGTTACCCATGTCGGACTCAGAGACCCAGCTGTCCTCAGAAGGATCATAACCCTTCCAACGGATGAGAAGCTCCACGGTGCCATTCCGACGACGACGATGTGCAAGCACGGACTCGACCTCGTACTCGGGTTCGTTCTGGACGAGGACGGGCGGCGGCGGCGGCGGCTGGCGTCCGACGAAAATTGTGTTCGGGTCCCGATAGGGCTTCAGGAGTTGGACGTGGAAGGCGTTGTGAATCTTCCAGGTAGCTGGCAGGCGTAAGCGGAAGGTAACAGGAGTGACCTGTGCTGCAACGAGAAAAGGCCCGCAGAAGCGAGGTCGCAGTTTAGATGGGAGATGGCTGATGTCCAGGTTGCGGGTGTCAAGGAGAACCTGGTCTCCCACGGAAATGGTGTGGTCGTTGCGATGGCGATCGGCCTGGCGCTTCTGTTGCTGTTGAATGTCAAGGAGGCGCTTATGGGTCCGATCCCAAAGTTGATGCATGGTTGTAATGAAATCATGTGCGGGTTGGACTGTAGGTGATGCTGTCGGTTTTTGTGGTGTGAGTGGGTGGCGTCCGTAGCAGAGGAAGAACGGCGTCTGTCCAGTAGCAGCATGTGTAGCATTGTTGTAAGCAAACTCGAGTACGGGCAGGTGCAAGTCCCATTTGGAGATGTCGTCCTTGCAGGCTGCTCGGAGGAGTTGCTCAACAATTTGGTTGAGGCGCTCGGTCTGTCCGTCTGTCTGCGGATGGTATGCGGATGACATGGCGAGTTTGGTGCCGAGCAGAGACATAAGTTCCTTCCAGAACTTGCTAGTGAACTTGGGGTCTCGGTCGGAGATGAGTGTAGTTGGGATGCCATGCTGTGAGATGATGTGACGAACGAAGAGCTGTGCTGTCTCCTCGGTGCGTGCCGTCGTGTGTGTCGGGATGAAGTGTCCCATTTTGGAGAACTTGTCAATGACGACAAGGATGGCGTCATGACCGCTGGAGGTAGGTGGTAACCCGGTGATGAAATCTAGGCTAACCACTTGCCATGGTTGTTCTGGGACAGGAAGAGGCTGCAGTAGTCCCGCCTTTTTCTGCTTGCTGCTCTTCATCCGCTGACATGTATCACACGAGGTGACGAATTTCTGGACGTCGTCTGCCATATGGGGCCAGTAGTAGTGTTTGGCGATACCGGTGAGCGTCTTGTTGCTACCGAAGTGTCCGGCGTACAGGACGTCGTGGTATTCTTCGAGTAGTAACTGGCGCAAAGGAGGGTAATTGGGTACCCAGATTTTTGTGGATCCCTTCCGGTACGCGATGTCACTGTCCCACTGTAGCAGATGTCGCTTTTCTGCCAATGGAATTTCGGGGTCGATGGCGTACCCGTGGGTGAAGAGTCCCTTGAGTAGTGGATTCATCCCTTCGACCTGAATCGCGGCAACGTGTGCAGGCCGGCTGAGAGCGTCTGCTTTGTTCTTGTGGCCGGGCTTGTACACGATGTCGTAGTGGAAGTGTGTCTCGAGGAAGTCGATCCACCGGACCTGCCGCCTGGAAAGGTTGGGTTGTGTCTTCAAATATTTCAGGCTGCAGTGGTCGGTGTAGACGGTCGTTCTTCGTCCTTCGAGATAGCATCTCCACGCTTTGAAGGCGATGACGATAGCAAGAGCCTCTTTGTCGTGTATCGGGTAGTTGAGTTCTGCCCCGTGCAGTTTCTTGCTGAGGTAGGCAATTGGTTGCAGCCCATTCCCCTGGTCTTGCATTAAGACTGCTCCCACTGCCTGGTCGCTGGCGTCAGCTTCGATTACGTAGTCGCGTTCGGGATCTGGCAAGATGAGCACCGGTGCGGACGTTAGTGCTTGTTTCAGCTGCTCCACGGCTTCCTGGTGCTTCGTCTCCCATTTGTAGGGCGTGTTCTTCTTCAGCAGATTCGTGAGTGGTGCCGCGAGTTTCGCATACTGTGGCACGAACCTGTTGTAGTAATTAGCGAAGCCTAGGAACTGCTGCAACTCCTTCACGTTCTCGGGTGTCTTCCACGTACGTACGGCTTCGATTTTCTTGGGGTCGACGTGAACTCCTTGAGCGCTCACCAGGTGGCCTAGAAATTGGACCTTCTCCAGGGCGAATTCGCTCTTGGACAGTTTGACGTAAAATCGTTCTCGTCGAAGAATTTCGAAGACGCGTCGCAGGTGTTCGACGTGCTGCTTCATGTCGCGCGAGTAGATGAGTATGTCGTCCAAGTACACCACCACGCATTCGTCCAGAAGTGGTCGTAGAATGTGGTTCATTTCGGCTTGGAACGTTGCCGGCGCGTTGGTGAGTCCGAACGGCATGACCAAATACTCGTACGATCCGTACCGAGTTCGAAAAGCAGTTTTGTGGATGGAGTTGTCCGCCATCCGTATCTGCCAGTATCCGGACCGCAGATCCAGTTTGGAAAATACCGTAGCTCCCCGAAGCTGGTCAAGCAGGTCATCGATTCGCGGTATCGGATATTTATTCTTGATGGTCTGCTTGTTAAGAGCTCGGTAGTCGATGCACATGCGCAGGCTTCCGTCCGGTTTCGGTGTGAAGAGTACTGGGGCACCGTATGGCGAAGTAGATGGTCGGATGAGTCCTTTGGCTAGGAGATACTCGATCTGCTTCTTCATGTCGGTCAGCTCCGTAGGGCTGAGTCGATATGGTGCTCGGAAGGTCGGCTTCGAACCCGGTTCCTCCACGATCTCGTGTTGATGCGTTCGGTATGGCGGTAGCTCGTTCGGAAGATCGTCAGGAAGAATGTCTTGGAACTCCTTCAGTAATTCCTTGATTTTTTCTGGAGTTTCCGAGGCTTTCTCTCCGTCATTCTCCACCTCTGTTGCTATCGCCAGGAACCCGGTGTCGGTCCGCTTCACATCCTTCTCGAATCGTGCGAGTGTCTCCACTGGGATATCTCCAGTATCGTCCCAGTTGGGTAGCTGTATTCTCCGTCCATTGTTGTAGATGCTTGCGGTGCGGTTCACCCAGTTGATCTCGGGGTTGAATCTTTTCAGGAAGTCTCGCCCGAAGATCAAGTCAAGCCCTTTGATGTTGGTGATGGGGAGTGCAGGTCTCCAGCGCAGTGGTCCGATTTGTAGATGTAGCACTGCTTCGCCGTGTACTGGTAACTTGCTGCCGTCCACCATCGTTGCAGAGAATCCTGAAGGCTTGTACTCTTCCCGGAGTCGGTCGATCATTGCCTTGTCGCAGACGGTGTGTGACGCTCCACTGTCCACGAGTGCTTGGAGGCGTCGTCCTTTGCAGATGACCTCGAGCACGAGGGGCAGTCGTTGCTCGGAGTACCCAAAGATAGTTTCATTGATTGGGTCATAGGGTACATCCCAATGTTCCGTACACACCTTTGTGTTGTTGTCTACTCCTGAGCTGGCAGCTGGCCGAGGCTGCTTGGAGAACGGCTCTTCCCCAGGGCCCGGAGTTTCCTTGACGACTGTGCGCGTCATTGATGCCGAAGAACTGGATGCATCCGTAGAAGGAGTTCGGGGTTTGTGCAGCTTCTTGTAGACCCCCAGCTTCCTCTTGAGCTGCTTCAGCTCCACCGACGTCTTCCCTGGGGAGCGGGTAGTCGTTGTGGGCTGGTGTCGGGAGAGGACGTTGACTCCGTGGAAAGGTCGGCTTCTTTCCACACTCCTTAATTTGGTCCCCAAGTTGTCCGGTACCGGTATAATCTCCACAGCTGTCTGCTTCTTTTGGAGTCCCTCCCGAATTTTCTCCAAGGCTCTAGCCCCTCGAACATCATAAGTTTTCATTAAAGCATCTTTATAAGATAACTTTAACGAATTCTTATAATTTCTTGGGTCTTCAAGGAGTTTCCCTGTCTCGGCAGAGTCTTTTTTCGCGGAGTCGTATTTTTCCTCGGCGATTTTCCCTGGCGAAGACTGGTCGTGGGGTGGAGATTTTCCCCCATCATTTCCTCCTTCTCGCGTCGAATCAGCTTCGTCGAAGTTGATTTTTCCGGAATCCCGCGGCCGCTTTCGGATCTTTTTATTTTCGCCAGCTAGATCCGAAATCACTGGCGACTCCCGTTTTTTGTCTTCTGATTGGCCGGAAGATTTCCGCCACTGTTGCGTGCCCGATACTCTGCGCGTGCGGCCTTCATTTTGTTGCAGTCGAAGATTCGGTGGCCCGGCACCCCGCAAAAATCACACGTGTAGTTGGTGTTTTTCGGACGTGGCCGCCCCTCGAATCTGTCGACTTCCATCGGGTCGGCGAACGTGGTGTGAGCCGAGCGGTCGCCCTGTCGCGTACTGCCGACGTGCGTCCGTCGTGTTCCGGCGTTGACCATGTCGAAGCGCTCCGCGGCCGAAACGACGTCACTGTAGCTCGCGTAGTTTGACGCTGCGACTTGTCGTTTGACTTCGGTCTTCAGCCCTGCGAGGTACGATTGCACTTTTTCCCCTTCGGTCAGGTCGGGAATGCGGTTATAAAATTCCTCCATCTGCTGCGTGTACTGTGCTACACTCCCGAACTGTCGATGACGATGAATTTTTTCGCGGGCAAGAAAACTCGAATTTATCGGCTCGAATCGTTTCAGCAGGTCGGCGCGGAACTGCTGCCACGTGGCTTCACCGTGGATGAAAGTACTGTTGCCGCCAATCCACTCGAGTGCCGGCCCTCGCATCAGTGTCGCCGCGAGTCGTACGCGTTGACCGTCCCAGACTGGCGAGCTCCATCCGACGGCTGCGAAGTAGATCTCCATCCCGGCGATCCATCTGCGGGCGTCGGAGTTTCGATCGCTCGGATCGAACGGCTCAGGTGGGCGCGGTTTCGGAGCCTCGAGAAACTGCTGCGACTGCTGCGTCGTCGCCGTTGTCGTCTCATGCTGCGCTCCGGCGAGTCGAGTTACTCGCTCGAACTGGTTTCGCCACGCTTCGCGATCTGCTCGCATTTCCTCCTGAAGGGCTGCGATGCGCGCGAAGAGCTGCTGGGTAACCTCGGCGGTGTCGAAGGTTGCCATCCTGTTCAAAACACGCACGGAGGGGGTAATTCGAAAATCGCGGAGCTGGTGCTTACCAGAATCGGCGTCGAATTGGTCGCCCCCGGCGGTTTTTCGAGGCAGGATCCCCGCTGCTGCTGCTTAGCTGAGCGCGGCCGAGTGAGAAAAGCTCTGATTACCAAGTGTCACAGGATCGAATGTGTCGAGGAAAGGTTGCACTATCGATCAGTACAAGGCGCTTTTATACTTCCAGAGTACATCAAGTAACCAGGTTTATCTTATCCTAAGGGAATAGACCCTTCTAGAAGATAGAATCACCCTGCGTATAGCCACGCGAGGCTATTGGTTTTAAGAGATTACGGCAGGATTACGCTAGATAGCGTGTCTAGAACATTCCATGCCTGGTCGGTGATATAATAATAATAAAGGAGGAAACCAAAGGATAATGGAAAATGGGGAATATGAGGCAAAAGGCGATGAGATAAAAAGAGGAATGAAATGAAGATGAAATATGGAAAAGGCCAAGTGGTGTAACGGAGGCGTACTCTCACAGATGGAAGTCAAGTGCGAGGAGGACTTCCTTCACCTTGTTGTGCAACTCACGAGGAGCCTGCTTGAGGCCATACACTGGGTGCTTCAGCTTCCACACTGTGCTGGCAGGATAAGTGCCAGGAAACCCCGATGGGCGTTCCATGTGAACATCCTCCTTGAGCTGGCCTTGGAGAAAAGCGGAGGAGGCGTCCATGGACTTGATCTCGAAGTTGCCACGAGCGGCTATATCAAGAAGAGCGCGCACAGTCGGGAGCTTGGCCGTGGGCGAGAATGTTTCGAAGAAGTCGAGATACTCCTTCTGGGTGAAACCCTTCGCCACGTATCGTGCCTTGAACAGTGGAGCTTCGCCTGGGAGTTGTTTGACTCGGAAGATCCATTTTCCGCCGACGATGTTAACACCGAAAGGGGGAACAACATCGTCAAAGCTGTTGTTGCGAATGAACGCCTCGTTCTCCACATCCATTGCTGCCTTCCACTCCTTATAAGGCCCTGAGAGAGCTTTCTCTTTTGTGCGAGGAGCCGGAATGGTCAGGTTCTCGGTGAAGTTGAGGGAAGGGTAGTCAGTAATGTCCGGGAAGATGTGAGAGAGAAATTGGCAGACCGCGTGAAGGTCAAACAGCTCCTCATGCCTGTCCTCCGAAGTGCACAGGGGGGGAATACGGATGGAGGGGACATCACCCCTGGCAGGAGGAGGCGGGGTGACCGAACACCAAATGGAGAAGGCGGCTGGTTCCCAGGCGAGAGGCGGAGCCGATCCCTTGGAACGAGTGCGACTAGAGACCAGAGACGAAGGCGGCTGCGGTGGGACCAGAGGGACTGGGCGCTTCTGGTAGGAGACTGGTGAGCCGGGCTCGACGCGTGGGGAAGGCGGAGCAAGAGGAGGTGCCGCTGCGGAGGATACCGGGGAGGCCGCGTAAGACACGCCGGACGGAGAAGGCCCCGGAGAAGGGGCAGCGGCCGGAGGTGGGGCATCGAAGTCTGCCCAAACAAGCGTCGGGGGAGGTGGAGGAGGCTCGCCTGTGGTCGCAGAGTAGAAGGGGCGTGTCTCATCGAAGACGACATCACGGCTGCGAATCAGCTGTCTGGTGATGGGGTTGATGAATAATTAGTCTGGGGAATCGAAGTTGTGCCCCAGGTCTGGGTTTTGGGACCAAGCTGGCACCTTGCTTCCTGCGCGTGTGGGGGCTACTCAAGACATATGTGGTACACCCCCAGACGCCCAGAGAGCGGGCGGAGGGCGTGGCTCCAAGCCAGAGAGTGGTAGGTGTGGTGTCGGGCCGGTGGGGATGCGGATAAAGATTGTAGATGAGAGCCGCATGGAAGAGGGCATATCCCCAGAGTGACCGTGGTGCGTTGGCGTGACTGAGGAGGCAGCGAGCGATCTGAACCAAGGTGTGGTTGCGGCTCTCTGCAATGCCGTTCTGCTGCGGGCTTTTGGGGAGCGTGAAGGTTTCCAAATCCCTTGGGCCGCGCAGAAGTTATCAAGTTTGCCATCGCGAAATTCTCCCCCGCCATCAGAATGGAGGCACTTCAGAGGAGTGCCGAACGTGACTTGAGTCTGGCACACCAATGCCATGATGACGTTAGGTGCCTCCGCCTTGGTGTGCAGGAGGTGCACGGAAACACACTGCGAGTGGTCATCCACTAGTGTAAGAAAGTATCGATGACCGCCACGGGATGCGACTGGAGTTGGGCCCCAGACATCCATGTGCACTAGGTCCAGCGGAGCAGCTGCGACGGATGGGGAGGAAGGGTGCGGCTGCTCCCTGAGCTC